CTGAAAAAACTGCATATCATACAGTCTCAACCCAATAATTATGAAAGATGCATGGACTGTAAGCAACACGATGAATGACCATGATAAACCTACTAGCCTTAAATGTTGTGAAATTGCTAAACAATTGCTTATCATATAGTCTCAACCCAGTATTTTTGTATACACATACATATATATATATATATAAATGTTTTATATAAATATATATATATATATACTGTATAAAATATGGCCTCCTTCCAACATATATATATATATATATATATATATATATATATATAATAATGTATAAAATATGGTCTCTTTCCAATATATATATATATATATATATATATATATATATATATATATATATATATATATATATATAATGTATTTTGTTACTGGCGTTTATTTTACATTCCAGAAATGAAACAATGAGTCATTATTAAAATTAATATTGCAACAACAGAACAGGTGGAGCAAAGAGTTCTGAAGTCGTTGTCCAGTTCTTCTAAAAGTCAAAGCGACGTCACTCTGAGGACTCTGAGCGAAATTGAGGAAAGTCTTTTAAAAGAAATGGACGTTGATAATTTTGGTGCATTTAAAAGTGAATACAAATGCACCACGTTTCTCCAATTTCTTTTGAACAGTGCAGTCATATTGAAGGTTGTATATGTTGTCTTGAATTGGTACTCACATATGTATGGGTGTATATATATATATATATATATATATATATATATATATATATGAATGGGCAAATATATATATATAAATGTTATGTAAATGTTATACAGATATATGCATGTATATGTGTGTGTGTGTGTTTGTGTGTGTGCACATATGTACTTAACGTACACGTACGTATTCATCTTTTTATGCTGGTTGCATTGAAGTTTATTTTGTATTATTTTTGCTGAATTAAACAGTTTTCATTGGTTGATTCAGGAGTGCTTTATTTCATGATTATAGGGATTTGTGTGTGTTGCAGTGTGGCGTGCAGGGAGCTGCTCTGGAGTGAACTGAAACATTCATCCAAGTGATGGCATCGAGATTGATTTTTAAAATCTTTATCATTATTTTACAGAAGCTAGAAAAGATTGGAGGCATAACGTTAGGGTCGTCATCATCGTCATCTTCGTCATCTGTCACACGTGACGAACTTACGGAATTTATTCAACAATGTTTCAGCTTTGGTGCAAAAAAAGAGGTGCTTTTGAACAATGATGTGTTTTGTTTTGATATTGTTGGCTGCGATTATATTGTCGAAAAGGAAACTTCTTTCACAAACATCATGACACTGCAAAAAAATAGTGACCATTAAAGTGAACTGTAACAGACATTTAATTTACTCAATCTCAGTTCTTCAAATGTATTAAAACACAATCTGTAATTTTAAAAATACAAATTTTCAGGTGGTCAAGCAAGCTCTTTGTCACCTCTATAATGTATACGACCTTGAAGACATTCCATTTCAAGGTAATCTCAATCAACTGATCAAGTCAGTTTCCAAAAGGTTCAAGAGAAACAAAGATGGCAACAGCAGCAGTTTCAACATCCTGCACGAGCATGCTGTGTGTGCACAAGATTTGTGAGTATAATTAGTTTAGTTTTAAATATTTTTTAATGTTTTTCATGTTGAATATTTGGTAAAACTTTGAGAGCAGTTTGCTAGCGTGATGAATTTGGCACAGCTCAGTTAATAAATCAAAGAAGCATTTTGACAAAATTGACATTGAGAGCTTGTATCACAGCTGCAACTTTAATCCTTGTTCTTTGTCATTATTATAGCGAGACTTTGGAAATGAATTTTAAAAACTTGTTAATTTCTTTATTTTAAAAATATTTTTCTAAATTCTTTTAAGTTTTTGAAATATGTAAGGCAAGAAACATTTTCGACTGAGATTAATGCCAGGCTCACAATTTATGTTTACTTTGAGCGAATATATTATGGACCAATTTACAATCAACTAGTTTGATTGGCATAATGCTGTTTTTTAGCAATTTAAAACCTTTTGTTTCATGTGTTTTGACGATGTTTTTCCTGTATGAAACATCTGATAAAACTTAAATTTTGAAACGCAGGAATCATGTTGGAAATTCATCAGGTGGGAGCAAGGTAGGGTCGTTGGGTTCGATGAGGAAAGAAGATGCTCTCGTCTGCATGCACACCTGTCCGCTCCTGCATGATATCCAACAGTGGACGCATTGGGACGACCTCTTTTTACCACAGTTCGGTACTTTAAAAAAATTTCTACAAGAAAATGGAGGAAGACAGAAGGTGGCTGCCATGCCCGCCAACGATTGTGCCGCTGTCGCCGGGAAGCACTGTGCTGCAATTGGTGGTGGCGGCATAAATGTCGTCGAGTATCATCAAACGGACATCGTTGCCATGGAAACCAAATCCGGTCGTCTTATTAAGTTAACATCCCAAACAGATTTGAATGCATTCAAAGATGGGGTGAAAAATTTAGATCCATTTTTAACGAGTGGACATCTTGTTTCTAAGATGGTTGCCGAGGGGAACTTGGAATATTTTTCTTATCAGCTGTTTGGCAATCAATTGAAGAGAACTCTCATTGGTTAGATTATTACTTTAATTAATTGATTAACCATTTGGAATTATTTTTGGTTGTTTTTGTGTTCTGATTCTATTGTGTGAGGCCAAGTTTCAGCCAGGCTCTCTATATTAAATATTAAAAACTGCACACACACACACACACACACACACACACACACACACACACACACACACACACATACACACTCATGATGATGATAATAACGAAGATGATGTTGACGATGATAGGGTTAGTGTATTTGGTGCAAGTCAACTCATACAACCCATCCATTTACTTTTTATTCAATACATGAGTTGATAAATAAGAAATTTTATTGTTGGTTGTTTTATCTCTTTAAAAAATTTTAGCAGTTTTTAGTTATATTTTTTAAAAGATTTTAACAAACATTTGGTAATCAGAGAAGTTTGGTAGCTGTCAAAGTGGAGAGGTACAATACACGGTCTGCCAGTTTGTGATGAGATGCATAACATGCTTGCCCAGCGTCCTCGCTGCCACTGCTTCGTCTAAGGTAATTATTTTATATTATTTTAAATTTAATTTAATTTTAAATTTTATTTGTTGGTGAAAACGCGTGATTATAATTTGATGGGACGCACTTTAAAAGACCTTCCACTGTAAGATGTTTTATCCTGTTTGGTTGAATATACATATATAGGAAATCAGCCATTTCTAACATTGAGCAGCCGATAACACCATGCACACTAGGGGGCCGTAATAATTCAGAACTGTTATTGTGAATAGCATAGATTAACAAGTGTTTAAATTTTTACTATTTATACGTTGCACAAAATGATAGACTGTAGTTTTTTTTACAACAAATTAAAATAACATGTTTATAGAATTCTAATTCTGAAATTATATTAACGTTAATTAGAATGTTTGAAAACACAAAATGAATTTAATAATACATTATAATAAAAAAAATAATAGCGTATTCTTCAAACAAATTTTTAAAAATCTAGCGATTGAATAAAATCTACATGGTCAAAGATTACAAAATCATTACGACCCTCTTTTATTTGGCATATGCAACGATAATAATGAATTTTCTATATATGTTATTCTACATGTATGTGATAGATAGGACATTATCCTTTTCACCAGGTGTTTCTGGAACCTTTGAATGAGTTAATTGGATCCACAAAATCAAAAGAACTCATTTGGAAAGCCGCTTCTGATGAAAAAGACTATGAGAAGTTAAACAAACTGGAATACATTGGGATCCGTATGGGAATTCCTGATTGGTACAAACATTTTCTAGAAATGAAGTTGACCATCGAAGTCAGAAACTCAGGGATGGTGAGGAACACGGATGTGTCTGCTGCAGATAATGATCAGTTGTCTTTGGAGTTGACTGAAACGATTGAAACAACTGAGGAAGCTGATAATAAGGAGGAATGTACTGGAGGCGAATGTGACATGATTAATACCAATCAGGTTTTTTGTTTTTTCAGGATTCTTTTATAAACTTGAACTTTTTTAAAATTAACTAACAAACTAAAACCGTGCAAAAAGCGGCCATAGAAGTACTATACAATAAATCTATTATTATTATTATTATTACTGTTATTATTATTTGTTTGTGTGACGTAGTCGAATACACAGACTTGTGACAACCATATCAAGTTATACACAGACTTGTGACAACCATATCAAATTATATATTCAATGTACAAGAGGCCAACGTTGTATAATATTCATACAACTTTTCTTATTTCGCCACCCTTCTCTATGAATTTGTTTCTCGTGGTCACTTTTGAAACGATAGTATTGCTATCATGGTCCTGTTGTGAGTGGAAATCAAATCAACTCAACCAACAAATCAACTTTTGTCGCAGAGTCCCTTGAATGTTCTGCACTAATTTGGAACGCAGCCACCAACCAACCACTAACAAACTGTTCACATACATTTCAAGCATCATCCATTCAGCTCACATTCCTCATTTAGCCAGCTAACCCTGGCGCTGCTATGCATGGGCTGTGGGCACTGCACAACGAGTCCATTATTATTATTATTGTTGTTGCTGTTGTTATTTTAATTTTAACTGAAGTATTTAATTTTAATTTTACTTTTATATTTAATTTTATTTTTTTATCGTTATGAAGTTATTCATGACAGATAAATTATTGAACAATTTCATAAAGTGTAAATTTCTGTTGTTCCAGAATGCCAGAGAGGACAGTGGCAGATGTCTCATGTCTCAAGGGATGTGCTCAGGTAATGGTGATGTTGAAAATCTATTGGGTGGCATGAGATGAATAACTACCTCTTAATAAAATTATATACAGGGATACAGCCATTATTTTTCATATAGAATACATAAGAAAAAGTTACACATGAAAATTTTTATAATTGTTTTCATATAAAAGCGTTCTTCGATTAAATTCTACATTTCTGATTTCTTTGAAGATGGACCTGGAGACAGTGCAGCGTCAATGTCGCCAACCAACGCAGGTCACGAAAGCATTACCCAAGAAAATCTAAACTATCACGATGCGAGCTACTGGAGAGGTATAGTTGATGAAATTCGGAGAAATGAATTTGGCATTGGAGTGGCTCTTGATGGGGAAGGAAGAGTTCTTATGAAGAAACAACTGGATAGGCAAGGTAGGTGCTTGGATAGGTTGTCTAAAGATTTATACAGTAAAGACACCCACTTTGTTCTTGAATTGGTTCAAAATGCAGACGACAACTCTTACTCAAGTGAAAATTGGTTAGTTACTTGTTTGAAGGTTATATTTTTATTGCTATATAACAATAGTTATTCATTCATTTTGAATTCGCCGACCATGGTGTGTAATTTACTTTTTTTTAATTGTGTCATTCCTCTATAGTCACTCAAAAGTGTAGTAAGCAAAAATTTCAGGTTAAGTTATTGTTACTTGTTAATTAAATCTGCTTAAATAGCAAAATATGTGCTACGGAGCTGAGGAAGTTAGTTAATGTCAATTAAGTGCCGGAATAACTATTTCATTAATTATTTTTTGTGTTACGTTTCTGATAATATTGCTCTTGAAATTCGAAAATCATTTATTCTAAATTATCTATTTCTTAACTAGTGTTTTTTAAATAAAAATTTATTTAAACATTTAATAATTAAATGGGTACTAAAAAGAAGCCGAAAGACACCTCTTTGGAGATGAGGACATCTGAAAGCGACCTCGGTTTAAAGTTGTGTGAAGATTGCCTTAGCTGTAATAGGAAAAGACTGGCCCAAATTCTTAAGGAGAATTTGCTTTGTGAAAGTTCCGTTCCAGTAGTTGAGGTACTAAGTGCAGAAATTAAATCCTCAACTCAGTCTATGATATCAAGGATGAATTTTCTTGAAGAGGCTGTAAAAGCTAAAAGTGAAGAATGGAAATTGTTAGCAAAAAATATTGAAGACTCTTCTCAGGCTTCTATAAAACAGCTTGAGTACTATGAAAAGTTAACTAAAGCTACTGTTGTGCAAAATGAACAAACGTTGATGAAATATTCTGATGTTGTGAGGGGTGGGGTTAATTTGCTCTCATCTGATGTGAAAATGATGAAGGAGTCAATTCAGGCCACATCAACTAAGATGGATGTTATTAATGAAAGAGAAAAGAGGAAAAATAATATTCTGTACAACATGTCTGAAAAGGAAAATATTAAAGAGTCAGTTAACAAGCTACTAAAAGAGATCTCAGGCACAGACTTGGGGACAGAGGTAGTTGAAATTTCAAGATTGGGGAGAAAGTCTGATGAAGAAAAATCAAGACCCGTTCTAGTTCAGTTTTCTAATTATACTGTTAAAAATCTCATCCTAAACAATTGCGCCAAGCTGAAAAAATCCTTGAATTTTAATAAAGTCATCGTGCCAGGAGACTTTTATGTTATTGCTTTCAAGAAGCAAAATTTACTAAAGTAAAAAATTCAAGTTGCAATAATGGTAATAATTTAAGTGTCATTATGACTAATGTTGACTCAATAACAAAAATTTTTTGATCTAAAAATTTTTCTACAAAGTTTGGATGTTGCACCTGATCTAATTGCTTTGAGTGAAGTTAATCCTAAAAATTTCAATCAATGTAGAGTTTTATCAGAGTTCTGTCTGGAGGATTACTCAATTATTTCTTCTGGTTTTGCTGAACAACACAGAAGAGGTTTAATGTTGTTTTGTAAGAGATCATTACTATTAACTGAAATAAATTTAAATTCATCATTCAAAGAGTACATAATAGTTAAACTATGTGTTTCTAATAGAGTTTTAAATATTCTTTTTGTTTATAGAAGTCCAAACTTTAATGATGGAAATAATGATTTTTTGCTGAAGTTGATAAACGATGTGCTGGCATTACCTGGTGAAACCCTATTGTTTGGGGACTTTAATTTTCCTGATATTAATTGGGACACGTCCAGTTGTGAAGGTAATGATGAGAGGGTTGAAAACAGATTTTTGGATCTTCTTAAAGATAAATTTTTAATACAACATATCAATCATCCAACGAGATTTAGAGATGGTCAGACATCAAATATTCTGGATCTGGTGATTTCATCCCAGGAATTTATAAATAACATCATACATTACCCACCTCTAGGTAACGGTGACCACTCAATTTTAGAATTCGAGGTGACTGGTTTTTGTTGTTCAGCCATGGAATGTGATAAAAAGTATTGTTTTGATTTGGGTGATTATATAAATTTTAGAAATGCACTGGGGGTCTCCTTGCAGGTTCCTTCTTCCTGGTGTGGGGATGCAGAGGATAATTGGAGATTTTTCAGGGACCAATTAGTCACTTGTTCTCAAAAGTTTGTTCCGATGAAAAGAAGAATATATTGCAATTTTAAAATAAATGAAGAACTAAAATCTCTTATTAAACAAAAGCATTTGATTTTGAGATCAATTTACAGATATGGTGAAGACAAAATGGACAAATATCGTTCAATCAGAAATGAGATAAAGAGACTCGCCAGTGTCTTGAAAAATCAATATCAGGAATCTATTGCAAGAAATTTCAACAGAAATCCAAAATTGTTTTGGAATCACGTAAAAAAAATCACTAGGCGTCATGAGGCTATTGGTACTCTGTCAATTGATGGGAAGGTCGTTACCTGTGATGATGAAAAAGTTGAAGCGTTTGCATGTTTTTTCTCTTCCGTTTATGAAATGGATTCAAATTTTGAGAACCAATTTTGTGCTATAATTGGAAATTCCTATCCGACTATGGACGATTTATCTATTGATGAAAATAATATTCTTTCTAAATTGAAACAACTAGTGACAAGCAAATCAGCGGGACCGGATGAAATTCATTCCAGAATTTTATGGGAAATGAAAGATTTTGTTTCTAAAGGTTTGTGCAGAATTTTTCAACGTTCATTGGATGAAAGTGTGGTATTTGATGATTGGAGAATTAGTCACGTTGTTCCCTTGCACAAAAAAGGACGCAAAGATTTAGTTCAGAATTATCGTCCAATTGCGCTCACATCAATTTGCTGTAAGATTCTGGAGTCATTAATAGAAGATCACATTATGGATTATTTTCTGAAAAATAATTTGTTTTCAAGTAATCAATTTGGTTTCATCCCAGGTCGTTCAACGGTTTTGAATCTTTTGAAATTTTTGGACGTGGTGACTGAAGGAGTAGATCGTGGTTACGAGGTTTGTGTGGCGTACTTGGACTTCGAGAAGGCGTTCGATAAAGTATCCCATGGTCGTTTGTTGTTCAAGCTTGAACAGTATGGTGTGAATCATAAGATAGTAAAGTGGATTGATAAATATCTTCAGGGCAGGGTGTTTCAAGTCAAGTTAAACAACACTTTATCGAAACCTAGACCTGTCTTGAGTGGAGTCCCTCAGGGTGGTGTTCTAAGTCTTCTGCTATTTCTCATCTATATTAATGACGTTTCTTCCATTTGTGATAGTATGTTCCTTTTCGCTGATGACGCAAAATTATTTAAAGTAATAAAGTGTGAGGAAGATAAAATAAATTTTTTGAAAGATTTTGTGAACATGATGAATTGGTTTAAAACTTGGAGGTTGAAGTTGAATTCAAACAAATGTCAGCTCCTAAGAATAGGATCGAATAAACCAAGCCCGCCATTTACTATACTAGATGATGATGGTTTGACGTTTCAGTTACCTGAGGTTGAGGAAGTATCTGATCTGGGAGTTATTATTGACAAAAAGTTGAAGTTTAAAAATCATGTGCTAAAGGTAGTTCATAGAGCAAATAGTATGCTTGGAATTGTTGCCAGAAATTTCAAACACCTTTCCGAGGCAGCATTTGTAACCTTGTTTAAGTCATTGGTTCGTTCGCACCTAGAGTACGGCGTTCAAGCATGGCATCCTTATAGAATTGGTTTGATAGATGAAATTGAAAAGGTTCAGGGAAGAGCTACGAGAACAGTGAATTCTTGCAAGGAGCTTCCATATGAAAATAGATTAAAGAAACTTAATTTGCCCTCTGTTGCCTACAGGCGTCGTAGAGCTGATCTCATATTGCTGTATAGAATAATCCATGGGGAAATTATGGAGGATATCAGTCCAAGGGTAATGTTCTCTTGTTATGATCGAACTCGAGGTCACAATCTGAAGTTATCTACAGGTGCTTGCCACAAAGACAGTAGGAAGTATTTCTTTTCTAACAGATCAGTTGATGATTGGAACAAATTGCCCTCAGCTGCTGTAAATTCATCTTCTCTATGCGGTTTTAAATCGGCAATAGACAATTTTTTTGGAGATGTCATGTTTGATTGGAGGGCTAATTTCTGATAATTTCTGATAATCTCAATAATATTGTGTCTTTTGTTTATTTTCCTATATTTATAAATTTAAATTTTCGTTGACTCAATTTTTTATATTCTCTGTTAAAAATCCTTTGTTTCGGTTCGTCTTCAATTTTGGTTTTTTATTATATTTGTGATTGTATTAACTAGACAGATTTTGTTGTTGATTCAATTTCCTGTTTGATTGCCACTGTAATGACTTTGTTAAACATCTAATGAAGCTAACTCATTTAATTTTATAATGACAATTTGATTTTTATCTTAATCAGTTTTTAATTTTTAAGGGTTTATTTTTGTTACTTTTGATTTTTCGATTTTTATTTGGTTGGCAATGGGCTATGCCCGAGCTATTTCTAATAATAATAATAATAATAAATAAAGAAAATAAACATCTTGGTTGTTCTTAGATAATAATAAACATAAAATTTAATTTAAACCATTAAAATACAATTGATGAAATATTTTTTCAAATTTCATATAAATTTCAAATAAAATTTCAGCTTCTCGCCTTCACACGTTAATTACAACTTTTTAAACTCCTAAAACTTTTTAAAAGGGATACAGTGTTTTTATAGTTTACTAGAAAATTTCATCATTTTGGTTGTTCTTAGATAATAGTTGAATCATTCTACAACTTAATAAATGAAACGTTCATCAAATTACAGTACTCCATCGCTGAGGTTCATCTTGAATCAGGATAGTATAGTTGTGCTGAACAATGAGGTTGGTTTCAACGAGTTGAACTTCAGAGCGATTTGTGATGTTGGGCGAACGACGAAGGGCAAGCACATGCTCGGCTACATAGGTCTGTTCACTTCCGTTCTTTGATATTCGCCTCGTAGTTTGACAATGAATCTGTCGTGCATTTAAAATCATCTAATCACTAATGCTACTTTTTGACTTGGTCAACAATGAGCTAGAGCTTTGCCAAAATTATGTTTTTTTCCAGGACAAAAAGGCATTGGTTTCAAATCTGTGTTTCGAGTATCAGACACTCCAGAAGTTCATTCAAGGGGACTGCATGTAAAATTTGATGCAAACTCCAAGCCGTTGGGTTACATATTGCCCGAGTGGACGGGTGATGGAGTGGATGGCGGGGACGAGGAGAACAGGAAGTTGGCATTTTCATGTTTTTTTTTTTTTTTTTATAAACACTTATCATTTATTTCAAACTACAAAAGTATAATATCATAAGGATTTTTCTTTTTTGATTATGTTCATATTAAAAAATTATTGTCGTTTTTCAAGCTTACCTTAATTATTACATTATATTCAGCATATCGTTATTAAAGCTATTTCTGTAAAGTTGATTCATACAATATATTGCTGTGCGTTGGTGTAATTGTTGAGGGGCTTGGCTCTGCTTTTGCAGTGGCGGGTTCGAATACAATAAAATACCCGCCTATCACATGCAAGGTGTATGATGCATTGCTTCACATGTGTGCTTACACATACTGTGTAGTTGTTGTCGATGCCTTTGAAGAATATTAAAGAGAAAATTATAATCAATCAGTCAATCCATCAATCAATCTATCAATTAAAATTATGAAGCCAAAATAAACCACCCACTGAGAATAATTTAACACGTCATCATATTGAACGACGATGTAAAATACATTGTATATATATTCAACATTGTTTTTTTATGTTGTATTAAAGGTACACAACTCGCATAGTTCTGCCACTGAGAGATGAAACTGCAAAAGAGAGTAACTTATCGTGTAGTTTCCAGGACATGCACCCATCACTACTTCTCTTCCTACACAGATTAAAGAACATCACTATAGTGGATAAGGTTTATTGTTTTGTTTGTTTGTTTTTGTTAAATAGATTTAATAAATTTATTAATTATATCGATAAAGTTCAAAATAAAGTTATTTTATAAAAAGAAAGTATTGATATTTGAACCAGAAATATTTATTAAATATTCTAAAAGTCTGTTCGAAATCTCAACTATGACTGATTTTTACCGGAACATAATCTTGAAAAAAGAATGGCATTAAAAAGATGCATAATAATAATAACAATATGCATCACAGCATATTGTTGTTATTATTATTATTATTATGTATAGATTCAATTATTGGATGAATAATTTAAAGCTGTTACAGTCACGTTACTACTGTAACCTGACTCAATGCGCACATGTGCATCACAGTATATCGTTATTATTATTAAGATGATTGTCGTCGTAACTGGATGACTGATGCACGAAACTGAACAGGTGAATGGTGAGGAGATGTCGATGAGCAGACGAGATTTAGGAAGCAACCTCATTGAAATAGAGCACAACGGAATGATCAGGACATGGATCGTTTTCAAGAAAATTTTTGATTCACAAGAAATTTCGCGAGAGGTACTTTATCAATTTTTTTCAACTTTTAAAACGTTATCTTTGCCATGTTATTATCTCACTTCAACTCTAGAATTTTTTTTTCATCTAAATTTTTAGAAGTTGGCGCGTATTTTTCTTATTTGTTTTGCATATTATTTTTTATTTTTCTGAGAAATTCATTGTTTCTCATTAAACTGATCTCCCTCCCGTCTCTCTCTCTCTCTTTCTCTCTCTCTCTTTCTCTCTCTCTCTCTCCCTCCCTCTCTCTCTCTCTCTCTCTCTCTCTCTCTCTCTCTCTCTCTCTCTCTCTCTCTGTTTTTGTCGACTGAATATACTTTTTCCCATTTCTTCTTGACTAATCAGGCAGACACTGTTAAGAATAGAAACATTTTGCTTGCTGTTGTTATTGAAGTTTTGTTGGTTTTCATGGTTTGAAATGTCATGTGGTCTCAAACAATGTACTAATTAGTTTTTTTTCTTTCATTAATTTAAAATTGTTCGTTTTAATAGATTTGTTACACTATTTAACAAATTATTTGTTAAGGCCAAAGCTGGTAGTGAATGTTTATCAACTGAACTTGCACTTGCTTTTCCTGTTGAAGACATGCAGTTCAAGGTGAGGTTTGCTTACAATAATTATATTGAGTATTAAATAATTAACAAATGTTTAGAAATTCATTGATCAATGCCATCATTTGTTGTCGTTATAAGTTTAATAAGTTTCAAAATCGGTTTAATTGAATTATTTTGTGAACAAAAACCTCAGACGCCAGCCGCCAAACATCTTCTCTTTGCATTCCTCCCTCTCAGATCGTACGGGTTTAGATTTATAATCCACGGTAATCTATTGCTGTTTTATTTAAATTTAATTCTTTATTCGAAGCAATTTTTCTAAATTTTACTTCTATATTTAATTTACCAAAGAAATTTTACAAACTGCTGATATATTATTATTTTAAAATGAAAATTATTGTTTTGTTTGCACAGTTTTTAATTGACCGTTGACTTGAATGAACCAGAGCATTGTTATTGTTATTATTATGGTTATTATTATTATTATTATGATGACGCAGGTGATTTTGATGTGCCGTCGTCCAGAGAGGATGTCGTGGACACACTTTGGAACCAGTGGCTCCGAAGCAAAGTGCACATACTATTTTTGGAAGCACTGGAACATTTCAAAGTAAAAAATTAATGCTCTGTTTTTCATTATTTGTCTTTTTTAGCAACATAAATGCACATAATTTTATCCATTTATTGCAAAGTTTATCTCCTTAGTGATTTTTTACTGGTTTCTTGACTTTTTGCATTGTATACACCTGCATTTGTAGAGTGCTTCTCATGAGTCATGGGTTGACTTCATAAATTTAATTTAAAAAATTTATAAAACATGCAAGACTTGTTAATAAAAAGCAACTCTTCCATTAATTATATCAAACGTACAATCGCTTTTTTCATCTCTTTATTTTTTTTAAATGGTTAAAATTTTTAGTTGAAGTTATAAGCCTTAAGAGGACGACGATGTTAATTTGTCCAGTTTTTTATATGCACAAATTTCAAGACAAAACTTTGAATTTATTGAAAACTTATTGTTGAATTGTTGGAATTAATTAGCTTCTGACCAGTTTGTTCTTTTTTCAATTTTTTTTATTCAGTAATATGTAAAAAGTTTTTTTTTAAATGCATTATTATTTAATTCATTTTTGTTATTAATTTATTAATAAAAATACATATAATACAATATTTTTTTATACTTTCAGAATAAACAAAACCCAGCTGAAGAAGTTTGCAAATTGTTGAAGTTTCTACCAAGGTCTGATGAAATATTAGATTTCTTCCGACCAGTTTCACTCAACATCATAAACTCTCTCAAACATTTTCCTTGCTTGCTCTCTGCAGGTTTGCTTTTAAATTTTAGTGGTATTATTGTTTATATTCAATAATCAATTCATAGGGGAGATCGTTTATTTGTTATATAATAATAATGCACCATAATCATTTTGTCAGATGATGAGTGGTGCTTGCCATCGGATCTTGTGCTCTGCGATGATCCTCTGACCCAAACATTCGTTACCTCTGACCTTTTAATCTTTCAAACTGGTTTACATTATCTACATCCAACGATCGCTTCGCTGATTGATCGATCGATGTTATTGGAATTAGGGGTTCAACTTATTAGCACGAAGCATTTATTAGCTGTTGGCAGAGAGTTGATCAAGAATATTCAAAGACAGTCTTTTTCTGAAGACCGAGTATCAGGTTTGTTTCACTTTAAATTTTTCTTCTGTTTTCTATCTACAACAATTTTTTAAACACATTCAAACTATGATAAATGATGCAAAGAATATGTTGAATAAAGTTGATAATCTTAAAATGTGAAACCTCAGACCCGCCCCTGGGTTTCAGATGCATATGCTTTAATCCCCATCTTTAACTTTTTTGCCATTGCTGTAGTGTAAGATTTGTGGGGCTAAAAAAACAAGAAAAGTTTCTGATAGAACTGTCCTATCATAATTATGGTAATAAATAAGTGACTGAAAATATGTAGAAAAAATTTAATCATGCTATCGTAATTATAGTAATAAATGATGAATTTTTGTAAAAAAAATAATTTAATTTCGTAGATGATAGCATCGGATGTATAACAACTTGGCTGATTTGCTTATACAACACCATGCATAACGTTACTAGAGAATCTAACTACTTATGTGGAGGTAGTGATGACATGAACATGTTAATGAAGTTAAGTTTCATTCCGCTGACCGATGGTTCATTCGTGAGTGTGCAGGGCATGGAGGAAACAATATTTTTTCCTCTTCTCCATGACGATGAAAACGCCGGGAAAAAAGATCGTGGCAAGAAGAGACAAGATCATTTTTACAATGAAAAAAGAGGTTAGATCGTTGCTATTTCACATTTTTCTTATAAAATTTCGTGTTGACCGTCGTTCGAGATATATAGCAGCTCAGTGCAACTAGAAGTTCTGAAATTGCAACATTTAAATACGCATCTGCTATGATCAAGTAATTTTTCTGTTAGGAAAGTGTTATGGTTTTGCAAGAAAGGTTTTGACAATCTAAAAAAAAACCAATGTTCTATAATGAAGGTTATGACCTTCTGAAAAAATCAGGGTTCGGTAATTAAGGTTATGACCTTTTGAAGAAAGTTATTGTTCTGTAGTGAAAGTTAGGATTTTTGGAAGAACAAACTAGGCGGTTGTATGAAGCAACTGTAAAGAGAATGGAGGATAAAAAGAAAGAAAGAAAAAAAGAAAGAAAGAAATAGAAATTAAAAAATTGTAAAAAGAAAAAGTAGAACTTTTCAAAGGTTTAGTAAATGAAAAAAATATATGAAGTTCGGCTAAAGAAAGTAGGTTTAACATTTGCCTGAGAAACCGATTACAGAAAATCATCACATGGCTAAGTTGTTACGTTGCAAGAGAAATCACGTAAAAGGTAATCTACAAAAAAGTTACTAAAAAATGAAAACAAAAGACGCTCTGAGGTAGCTCAATATATGCAGGTATAAAAAACATGCTGCAACTGAGAACTAGAATGACGAAAAACTGGAAGACATGTTCTCTATATGGTAGTAAGAGAAGGACAAACAGACATAATAACTTGATGCTTGCTGGGAAAAATTCATCTTATAGACCGGATCAAAAAGTGATTGAAATGATGAACCACAATTTAATGCAATGACACGAATTAGGAAAGTAGGATTAAGGAGCGAATGTATGTACCATATATGCATACATATATATATTTAGACTATCATAAATACAATTATTTATAAAGATCACTGCGTTTTCGGTTTTTCTCTAAGTTCATATTGAGATTATCAGACTTTCATCAGTGAC